TCAAATTTGTAATACACAGTATTACAGCACTCAGAGGTCATATATTCCTCCTTAAAAAATAGGATTTAAGCATTGAATTGCTTCCAGGGATAGGCTGGGGGAAAATTCTGACGATACTGCTGTTTGAAGAGCCAATTCAAAAATGGGCAACATGTATTCATATGCATTCCAGAGAAATCACGCTCTTCAGGACTTCAGCAGCAAACCATGGTAACATTTCTGTTAATTTTCTGGTGCAAAATCAAAAACTGCTTATAAATTTTAATTTAGTTTTGACATATTGTACAAAGAAGATGAACTCCTGCACCCTGGCCCCTCGCACACATATGCACACATCCCATTAAAAGGAATAAATCCAAAATCCACATTCCTTTTTTTGTAATGCATTTATCCTAAGTTAGGAAAAAAATCTTCACTGTGTACAAAAGGCTGCTAGATAAGTATTTGTGAGATGCAGACCTGCATATTTGATAGTATAAATTCAGATTTCAGTGAAAGAATTTTAATTTAATTTTAGTTTGAGTCATTTTCTTTTCTTTTTTTAAGCAACAAACAATTTCTGCTGAAATAAAGACTACAGAAAAATATGAGTATTCAGAGTAGTTTCTGAGCCCTTTGGACCCATAGCTTAGAGATTGAAATAAATCAACAGCTTGCAATTTTGAAAGAAAATATTTAAGCAATACGTTTTATATTACAAGATATATTAATTCTGTGACTATTTGGAATAATTTAGTGGAAGACAATATTACCATGCAATATCATTATAGATAATGTATCTGCTTTCCCATCAGTTTTACATGCTGACTCATCAGTGAGTTTCACATTTTGGATTCAAAGGGAAATTTAAGGTGCCACGTTCATCAAAAAATGGTGTTCCTAAATTAATTTCTGACATTGCTTTTTACTTGATAAAAAAACAAATTATTAAGTATGCAAAATCACGTTAGAACCTTGATAGGATGGGGGGGGGGGGGGATGGGAAAATTTTTTAAAGGGAAGGACAAACAAATCTCAAGTTCTTTTTTTAATTGCCTTTACATTGGCAATGATTATTGTATCTGATGGTTTGCCATACTTTTCAGTGAAATTTTCCTCAAAATTGACAGTTGAGGTTGACTACCATACTTCCATATTGAAGATTAGCAATTGGATGCCCTATCTTTTTTTGGCTAATATTTTAAAGGTTTTCACTGTGATGGCTTGAGCTGAATTTCTGGTGGCTTACAAGAGTAGTGTGCAGCTGTTAGAATCCAAAACAGGAAAGGTGCTTCAGAGAAGACAAGGTCATCCTTGCTGCATCTATGGCTTCTCCTTAACAAAGGTACACCCTTTCATGCATCCTACACTACCCAGGAAATGATGTCATTGCTTTAAGGAGGCGTTATCAGGTGCAATGTGTATATGCCCACACCCCCTCCAAAGTACATTTTCTGCTTCTGATCTAAAGAGCATCCATAGATTACAACTTAGAGAAATACTGAGCTTCATGTCCTGAACAAATTACTACAGCATTTTATTGAACTGGGTCCTCCATTCTTGACACTTCAGTCTTAAAGGTAACAAGAACTGTAAAGCAGTAAGCTTAAGACTTTTACTTTTCGTTTATGCTTTAGAATTGATTATACTAGACTTCACAAGAGGACAATTTGTATATGCTATAGGGAAAAAAATACATTTATTGCACAATAAATAGAGTATTTTCAAGAAAAATGCAATAAAGGAAATTAATATATATCGTTTTGATGACCAAGCCATCAAAATCTGTTTTAAAACTATTTTTGGTGGTGCATATATCATGGTATATCTTAAGGATGTCTATGTAGCTAGATAAGTCCCTAAAAAATCTTCATTCAGCTGGTATGTTGGTGAGCGTTGAAATATATGACCAGAAAATGTGTTTACATTTCAGAGTCCTCCTAGCAGTATTTTATTATTCTCTCTAGATTAATATTCTATACGTTTTTCTCTCTGGACTGCTCACAAATTAAGATAAATTTACATTTAATTAAAATTGTATATTAAGACCATAACAATTTCTCTTGAAATTGTTTTTTCTTTTTTATGTAAAAAGGGTTATTTTGTTTAAATAGGCTTGCTTAGGTAGAAGTTTTTATTCTATAACACTTACAATTTGTTGGCTTCCATGTTTTATTTTATTTTTTTAAATTACAATCTTTGCATAGCAGTAGCATTTAGACTTCTATACCATTTCATAGTGCTTTACAGCACTTTCTAAGCAGAGTCAGCATATTGCCCCCAACAATCTGGGTCCTCACGTTACCAGCCTTGGAAGGATGGAAGGCTTGAGCCTGGTGAGAATCGAACTGCTGGCAGACAGCAGAATTAGCCTGTAATACTGCATTCTAACTACTGCACCATCCCGGCCCTTCTATTGGCTTAGCATCTTATGATTGGCGATCATCAGGTACATTTAATAAGTTCCAAAGCAATTCTATTTTTTTAACAATTGGCAAAATTTCAAATTAGAGTTCAAATTGGCAACCTCAGGGCCATGGTATTTTTGAGTTTTCTATTTCATTAGTTCATTCAGAGTAATCTCTTACACGGATATTGCTCTCCTTTTGGCCTTGTTTAATCTTTTTGTTGCAGTAGGTGACTCTCAGATAAGAGACTTGCCCTGGGACAGGAGAGATTGTAAGGAAAGGAATCTGTCCTGTTCCTTTACAGTTATCTTCCTATATCCTTCCTTTGCTGAGAATAACTTGTACAGAATTCCTGATAGCTGATCCTGTGCTGTATGATAAGGCAGACCAGAGTGATGATAAGGCAGACCAGATTTATCTTATACCATATTTAGAAATAGCTTTTACCTCAGTCATAGGGTGACCCCTGGAAGGGAGAAGCTTGAACTGTTATCTAATTCAGTCCATGCAAGGTAAGATTCCATTGACATTAAACAGCCCTGACAGAACTGTTCTTAATCCATTTTAATGTTACTGTTTGATTTTAGCCTAAATAAATACACATCAAAACTTCCTTCTTCCGCTTAAAACTTTGAGAATACCTCCATGCTAAGTCTAGTGGAGAAAGGATGGAATTTCTCATCTCTCTATCGGTCAACTTGGTATCTTTTTCTCTATGAGCATCTCAAAAGTAGAGGAGATAAACTGTCTTTCTTTTGCCAAGCCACTTGGTCAAAAATATTGTGTTTTCAATCTATTTTTAAAAGCCAGAAGCCTACATTTTTCTGTAGGCCAGACATGATTTTTTATCTTTCCCAACTATATTATGCAACCCAGGATACTTTCTTTCTAGTTCATGTAATTTTGTAAAAGTACTTGCATGACTGATTTACATATGGCATATAATTTAGATTGTCCTATGATGTCAAGGTTTTTTTAGGCCATCAGAAGGAACAAGAAACTAACATTTATGACCCATGAAATGTTATACTTAATGCATGTATCTGCCTTAGATTTATTTCAGAGACACTCATTGGATTTTTTTAAACATTTGTGGCATGGACTCATTCCATTCTACACATAGTTAGATCCAGTTTTATTTAGCATGATGGGCGCTTGTGTGACTGCAAGAGACTAAGTCCGTAATTTTGCATCATAATCAGGTAAGCTTAGAGATTTGCTCTGTGATCTGCATGTTTTGTATATTCTACTATTATTTTACTGTTCATATTACATTAATGAACTGAAGAAATAACCTTGAGGAACAGAGGAGCCACAGCCACAACAAAGACAACAATCAGATAAAAGAAACTGAATCTGGAATAGAACATAAATTTAAAAAGTCATCTCAGACATGATCTAATACTTAAGAAGATAAACTGAAGAAATGGGAAAGTGCATTTGGACTTGCAAGATTCTGTTACTCTAACAAAATAAAAGTATTAACTTGTATGCATTTGTTTTCCACGTTTGGTCTATCTTGGAGGGCTCACATATCCCCACTTCTTATCAGTTTTTGTAAGCAGAAACAAAGGCGCTTGGATCATAAAAGATGGATTGATTTGTTAGACATGATCATGACATAAAATGGATTGCTTGAGCTATTGCTGGTTAAGCAAATGGTCTTTTCATTTGCAGAATTTCTCATACATGCAATTTCAGAAGACATATTTGAAAATTGCAAGTTTATAGTGTGGCTGTGAAAAAGTCACTTGATATCAGAAAAATTTTATCATGCAGGATCCCAATTCAGCTTTAGCACTATTCAGGAGTCCTCAGATGAAGGGTTGAATAAGAAATAGTAATTATTTTATTTTGATTCAATTCCTCTTGCTATTTAGGGCTTCATTTTTCAGGTCATTCTAGCTGTTCCCAAGATGACAAAAACCTCTGACCTTAAAATACTACTATAAATTCAGGAATGAAGGGGTTTTTGGGAAGAAAGCACCAGTGCTGGCAATTTTCTGAGTAGCCTGCTCTCACAGCTTTACAAGATCCACTGTAAATCATCAGTTTAAAATTTACCTCAGCTTTTTTGCTTGTACAGATGTCAGCTTTTATAGCTTACATTGCTAGAATAGGACACCTATGAGGTTAATGGGACCTAATTTTAAATATATAACAAAATCAATGACTTGCCATTTGTAATTCTGTGTTTTAAGGAAGTTATGTTTGAAAAAGACATTCTCTTCAAAACTATCAACTTAAGATGGCATGTTTCTTAATGTGTTCATTTATTTAAAAACAGATTCTAGTTTTTTAATAATAGTGTTCCTGGAGGTCTTAAGGCAGTCTTCTCATGAATGGACATTTTAATAAGAAAAATAAGCTCTTTGGAAAACGTAATTATTGGTAAAGATTATTTTTATCTTTTTTGATTAAAATGTCATGGTCTGGTCCCTATAAGCACCTTACATAGTGCACACGTGTTCATTCTAAAAAGTGTTTTTTAATTAATTATAGTTTCTATCACATTAAACTACATTTATTGCTGCAGGTAATTCAGCACCATCCCAAAAGAAATTAACAGATGGGGCTTTCATTTTTCTTCATTTTTCTCCATTTTTCTTGCAGAAAACGGAAATGAAGGTTCATAGGCACACACAATTTTGCCTCATTTGTTTGCTGACATTTGTCTTCCATCAATGTCACCATTGCCATGAAGGTGAACATAGCCACAATGACTGTCAAATCTCGGAAAATGAAAGGACCGATCCTGAACCAAGTAAGGAAGCTGAAGTTAAACAGAAATACTACATTGAAAAACTCTTTAATCGTTATGGTGAGAATGGAAAGTTATCGTTTTGTGGCCTGGAGAAATTGATGATGAGCCTTGGCCTTGGAGAAATTAAAATAGTAGAAATAAATCATGAGGACATTGGCCACGATTATGTTTCTTACTTAGATGTACTAGATACACAAGAAGGAAAGCATTCTCATTCCCACAACCATCCTCATTCCCATAATCACCCAAGCTCAGAAAATCAGACTGCAGATGAAGAGTCTGGCACAAAGAGCCAGAAGTGTGATCCAGTGAAAGAAGTTACAGAATCATCTTTGAAGCCTGATGGTAGACATGCTCATGACCCTAATAATCACAGACACCACAAGCATCATCACCGCCGTCATGCACATCGCCACATGGACCATAACAATACTCATCAGTCTCACAATGATTCCATTAATACAAGTGATCATGGGGAGCCAAGTCACGAGCCTTCCACAGAAACCAATACTACTCAGGAACAGCCTGAAAGAAAACGTAAGCACTCTAAGAAATGGTGGAAAATGAAGAACAGGGAAGTTTCAAGAGTTACAGCGCAAGATTTTACTCTCAATCATGACTCAAATGAGCAATATGAACATAATCATGTCCACAAACATGACCATGTGCACGATGTGTCTTTCTCACATGCACGTTTTCCTGAACACAATAATGATCATTCAGCTACTCATGGACATCAGGATCCAAATCCTGCCAGTGGGGATGGGTATCGGCATACCAGCAAGCGAGAGGCACCTGATAAACAGATGAGCGAGGGGAAGCATGCTAATCACAAGAACCATAATGAAGATGAACATTCTTCTGAAGAGGTCTGTATGAGCCCAAAAAAAACCATGATGAATCTTTCAGAAAAAGCCTTCCCCAACCTTTTGCCCATCAGAGCCAGCTTTGTGCTGACTTACAAATGTTAGAAGTTGCAATTCTATAAAATTGTGTATAACTAAGAAAGAACTAGAGAGCTAGTTTGGTGTAGGGGGTGAAGGCATCAAGCTAGAAACCGGGAGACGGAGTTCTAATCCTGTCTTGTACACAAAGCCTGTTGGGTAACCTTGGGCCACCCAACTTTCTCCATCCTAGGAAGCAGGCAAAGACAAACAACTTCTGAAAAACCTTGCCAAGAAAACTGCAAGGACTTGCCCAGTCTCTGAGAATTGGACACAATTGAATAAAAGTGGGGAAAAAAACTAAGGATTTATATAGCTAAGTACCTATACCGGTAGATACTGTAGATAACCAGTTTCCCTGAAAATACGACCTACCGTGAAAGTATGCTTGATTTTTACACGTGTGCCCAATATAAGCCCTACCCCCCCCCCCCAAAAAAAGCCCTAAGATCCCTCCCACTCCAGAGTGCATGGGTAAAAATTAAGCTAGGATGGGGCGGGTGGAGCTGCCCTACTACTTACCTTTGGACAGTTGTAGCCAGGCCTTGCACATCCCGACACCTGCCCTTGCCGGCCCATTTCTTCTGCAACAGGCAAGGCTGGCAAGGTTTTCCTGAAGGCTTCTGTAGCTGGTAACAAAGCTCTGGGTTGATCCAGAGCTCTGTTATCGGCTGCAGAAGCCTTCAGGAAAGTCTTGCCAGCCACAGAAGAAGATGTTCCTGAAGGCCTCTGATAGCGAAAAGGAGACCAGGGGCGACGTGCGCAAAGTGAGGTTAGTTAGTGGATGACATCCCCCAAAATAAGACCTGGTGCCTTTTTTGGTGGCAAAATTATAAGTCAGGGTCTTATTTTCGGACAAACACGGTACTTGCTTTGTAGGGCATTATGACTAATATTTAATAAAGGAGGAGAAATGCTTATCTACTTAAGGTATTTAGGTTATCCCAGGATAAATCCAAGGTATTTTTTTTTATTCATTTATAGGACCAATAGATTTTTGTACTTTCTTTCTTGATGAACTGGTTGACTTCTTAATCTTGTATGCTTTTTAAAAAATACAAAGCAAATATTTAATCATCCATGGCTGGTTGAAATGAAATGTCACTTCAATCAGCCAATGATGAAATACCGTTTACATTACTGTTCCCAGGAAAGATTTTAATGTGCATAAACATTTTCTGAATTTAGGTTTAATCTTTTAAAATTCTCCGTAGACGTAATGAATTTTCTCAGTTTCCATTCCAGAAAACAATAGATAGTTTACTCAACATTTCATATTCCCAGCTCTTTCAATATATGATGGTTCATGGGCTAGGTAGGCATTCAAATTACAGAAGAGACTATAATTTTATGAGATTTGAGTAGCTAATGTATGCCTTTAACAGTGGGACCCGCTTAATTGTCTTCTTCCTAATTTGTTTGCAGTGCTTAAATGTCACACAGCTGCTAAGCCATTATGGTCTTCGCCCCAGTTCTCCAATTTCTCCCAGCTTGTTTATTTATCTGTGCCCAGCATTGCTGTATCAGATTGATAGGAGACTTTGTATTGAACATTATGAAGACCTGCATCTTGAAGACTTGAACAAAGGAAACAATGTGTCTCTTGGGAATGTGGAGAAAACAGGTGCGTCAGGTGAGAAAAAAAGTGGACTGAAAGATTTGGGGGTTTTCAGATTAGCTAATGTAATTTCATTGGATGTAAATAGCCAATCAGGCCAGTTCAAGTAATAGAAGCAGCTTACTTTGTTAGTTGTTTGAGAGATCCACTGTGAGTTCCTAGAGTCGTCATTCTTCGCATCATTGTATTCACTGGTTGAACCCCATTTTCTTGCTTATATTGATCTTCAAGGCAACTGGGCAGTATTAATTCCCCGTGTGATTTTTCTTCTTTAGAAGAAAAACATTTCGGGCCAGTGGGCATATTTGCAATGTTGTGCCTATAACATGAGCTGTCCAAATTGTGGTTGGTCCTAGAACACCCACTGTTGCCTATTTGCAAACTCTTTCAGAGTATTCCCTATTATAAATAAATATAATTATAATACAGCCTTCTGTACAGAAGCAACCATACCTCAAAACCTGAGGGTTTTATTTATTGTTGCTAAGGTGCAGACATGAAATTCCTGTATTTAAATGTCTGCCTAAGGCAGCCACTTGGGAATGGCCTGTGGCTTTGCTATACATATAAGATTTCCTCCATATAATGCATGTTTATTTTGTTTTGTATGGACCTGGTAAAAATCACATCCTATGAACCCTTGTAGCACACACTCTACTGAACACTTAAAAGAATAATTTTGTGATTATCACCTCTTAATTGAGATAACAACAGGCAGATACTTTGAGGCTGAAGACCATTTTATATTATTTTATATTACTTTAAAAAATTCTAACTGAAAACATTTAATTGGAAATCTGCCATGCTGCAAAGTGAAACTTTATTTTTTGTGTCCAATATTGCTTTGAGCCCCATTTTATATCCCAGAGGCATTCCTAAAAGATAATTGATCAAGAGTTGCAGTCAAATGCTGCATTTGAAACTGTTGAACTGATCCAGGAAAGAAAAATAAAGATAGAAATAAGCAGAGTTGAGAATGAATGTCCTGGGAGATTAGATGGGATGGCAGAGAGCAGCCTCTACTTTCATTTAAGGGCCTGGTTTCTGATTGGCCACATATATGTCATATTCTCAACATTGCAAATATGCCCACTGGCCCGAAATGTTTGAAGCTTTATGTGCTACAAGGGCAATTATTCTTAAGAAAATTTAAAAAATGGACAAGGTGTTGGTTGCACCCATATGCTGTTCAGTAGAAAGCTCTCTCCTCAAAGACAATCCAATTATTTCAACCCAGTGGAATAAGGAAGACGTGTAAAAAAGAGGTAATTCCATCTACTCAGTGATAGCCACAGAAGCCAAGGACAAAGTTGTAAGAATTGCAGTCTGGTTTGTCCATTTTATACTGAAAAGGACGTGAACAATTGACATCTTTTGACACTCCAGGAAGACATAAAATTAATCTGGGAAAGACACTGGAGGCGCCATTTATGTACAGTGGATGTTTGAAATATGACAGATAAGTTGCTTGATATAATGGGGAAGTTAAAACACTTTGTGCTTTTTTAAAGAGGCATTTTATTTGTGGACTTTTCTCTGCATAGATATTCATAGATTTCCATGAAACTGTCAAATGATGAATAATGTCTGTTTTTTAAAGCTGGCACAAATAATGCAGCTAAAGAAAAAGCTTGGAGAGGATTGCCCTTCCTTTGAAAGTAACAGGGTTGTTAATAATGAGTGTTGATTAGTTTTGCAGATGTTTATTAGCATTTTCTGAAATAAAACTCCAAATGAGTATGTGTGGATATATATTAATTATTGTCAAAAATGATCTGGTAATTATTTTTAATGACCGAAACATTAAAAAAATATAACATGTTGTATATAAATCTCTTGAAGTGATGCATCATTTCCTCTCTTGCTAACTTTATTCAAGAATTCATAACACTAAATAATCACTGCATTTGTTAGCAAATAATTCTTTTCTCTGGGTGGTCTTGTTTTAACCAGACTTGACCCTAATTTAATTGCCAGTAGAGTTTATGGAAAGGTTGTGAAGCATTTTCTGTCAATTAAAATGTTGAGAGTGACTTTGTGTATGCTTAAAAAAATACCAAGAAAACCTGTCAGCTTGTATGTCTTTAAACCAAGCTAATTAGAAAGTTTCCATTGATAACTGCTTCCTTTTTTAAATAAGCATTTTTCTAACTAGAATATGAAGAACCAATAAATAAATAATCTCAAAGACCTGCAACACTAACATAAGATACCTAATTTGGGGTGGAGGACCAAAGGGAGTGTATTTAAAGGCAGTGTTTCTGAGCACAAATCAAATTATCTTCAGTTTATATGAGTGGCACTTGTCCATTCTAATCAAGCAGCTGTCTGGTTTCTCTCTTCTGGACATAGATGATCTTTGATACAAAGACTTCTCCAGTCTCCTAATTATTGTTTTAAAAATTGTTCTGATCTGCTAGTTTAAAAACAAGATTACAAGGCCCTGGTCATCTGATGCCCTGGAAGCACATTTACCTTTCAGACCCAAAATCTCCTGGCAGCATGACCATTGGTCTTACTGATGAGGAATGATGGCAGCTGTCAGTCAACATACCTGAAAGGCTTCAAGTTGGAAAATCTACACTAACACGATGCTTCAGTATCCCTTCTGTTCTCATTTGCAGAGGTGTCAAATCAGTTTTTCCTGAAACTAACTTTTTTCCACCCTTCATTAGGGTTTCTGCTTCATCTTTCTCCTCTTTCCATCAGCCCCTGTGTTTACATCTTCTCTCGCCATCCTTCTCTCCCTTTTTTACTCCATCATTCCATTTCAAACAGTTTATTTTTCCCAATATATATATATATCTTGGGAAAATGTAAACTTGCTAGATATAAATAGTTTTGATTCAATAGGTGATTTATAAGGCTGTTTACATTCTACACTTCATGTTTGTGTTACTATGGAACAAAAACTGCAGAATTGGCCTTGGGGGATTTAATGAAATTAAGATGCTGTACTCATGAATTTACAAGTAAATCCTTAGAAGACCAGGGCTAGTGTTTCCCCAGGTTTTCTAGGAGAAAAAGGCCAGAGCAGCAAGAAGTAGAATGTTACACCTCAGACATATTAAGTATGTTCCTCTCTCCCATTGTTCAGCTTTTGTGAGACAACTTTCTTTTTTCAGCACAAGAAAGCAATTTTGAAGTCAAACAAAAGCAACTGGGTGACTTTAGGCCAATCACTTTCTCTCATTCCAACCCACCTCACAGGGTTGTTGTTGTGAGGAAAATAAGAGGAGAACTGGATTTATTAACCACCTTGAGTTACTTATAAAGTAATACAGGTTGGATTTTTAAAAAATTAAATAATTATATAGAATAGTGCCTAAACTTAGACTTGAACTGCTCATTAGGTGGAATCAAATGACATGGCTAAGTCAAGCCTTTTTTCTTTTATGTATTTTTGATAACATGTAGGATCAAATGTGTTTATTCATTCTCCAGTGGAAGAACACTGAAGCATGTAATATTTGGTAGAAGCCCCGTATGATCCATATCTGCTTCTTAAATAATTCTGTGAGATCTGTCTTCCATTTGCCTTTCTCTTCCTTTCCTTTCCTTTCTCCAGCAACAATGCTTATATTGCATTCTATTTTGATGAATTTCATACATGTATTTATACTTTTTCTGGAGAGAGCTAACGTGGAAGGAAAAGGTATTCTACCGAGCAAAAGTGTTGCATTGTCATTAATACAAGAGGCATATTTAATAACTAGAATTTCACACATTTTACAACACAGATTATACTTTTGCTACACTAAAAGGCATCTTGTACGTATCTTTGCTTGGAAATTCGAATACAGTACTAGAAACCCTAAAGTTCTTAGGAGGTCAGTAAATAAAAACAGTGAAAAATAACATTAATTCACTAGTCAGTGATCTGGGTTGTCTTGTTAACTTCACAGTGTTGAAATGCAGTTTGATGAACCCATTTAGATGAAATTTATTCAATATTATAAAATTATAATTTAATCTAACAGACTATATGTTTCTAAATAAATCTATCACATAGCCTGCATTTGTTAGAAAAATACATAATAAAGTCACAATGGTTTGTATTTTATTGAAATATAATATAAAATAGTTATATTTTAGCTGAGCAGGTTTCCTTGGAATAATGTTTTCTTTTGGTATTTGGTTTATAATGTATTGATTTATTATTTTTCTAATTTGTATTTTTCCTTCTTTTGACAGCTTGGATCTGTGGCATCATTTCTATCACAGTTATTAGCTTGTTGTCTTTGCTAGGCGTGATTTTGATTCCTATAATCAATCAGGGATGCTTCAAATTCCTCCTCACCTTCCTGGTTGCTCTTGCTGTAGGAACCATGAGCGGAGATGCACTACTTCATCTGCTACCACATGTACGTTCAGTCTCATTCTATTCTAGGCCTTCATTTATTTGTGAAACATCTGTTTCAAGCAGAGATGGGTAGATAGACTGAAAACAATGCCTGTAAGTAGAGGTCGGGTTTTATGTATCTCACTTCTTTTTCAAAAGTGGAAAGATGTGAACAAAAGGCCTGGGTAGCAGTTATATCTATTCTACAAATAAGGGATATAGGCCCGTCAGAAAGAATCAGTTTTGAGCTTCCTACATTTGAAAAAAGTTAAGCAAGGTTGAACTAATAAGCAGTTGAATTAATAATTTGTCTTTCTCTCTCAAAATCTTGACAATAGAAAGTACGCTTGTAGAATCACAAAATAATTTATCCAAGATATTATTTGGAATAGTCATATATAGCCCAAAACTATTTTGTATTTGCTTATGAGCTCATTTTGAACTGTCAGGGAATCATCTAACTACATTGTCGAGAATAGGAATATTAGACCAATTTGATCTTTGTCATGCTTGCTTTTAAGGATAAGAATGGCACTTAGTGTGAATTTTGTAGCTGAGAAGCTCATCATTTCACATTTGGATTTGGTTTTCCGCTGGGAAATGTTTTGTGCATAACATCTTCTTTTCCTGTTCATTAGTCCCAAGGGGTCCACAATCACAGCCACCATGAGGGCCATGGGCACCAGCATGAACACCAACATGAGCACCAGCATCTGCACGGCCATTCCCACGACCATGGAGAATCGGTTCCGAACTTCCTAGAAGAGTATGATGCTGTACTAAAGGGACTTGTGGCCCTTGGAGGGATTTACCTTTTGTTCATTATTGAACACTGCATACGAATGTACAAGCACTATAAGAAACAAAGGGTGTGTTTTGACAAATCCTACTTTGTAAGATACAATAAGATTGCACAGAAAAGAAAACGGATAGGGAGAGATATGTTCTCAAGTATAATTTCAGATAGTTAGCTCTTACTGCAATCATCCGACAGGAACCCCTTAAATTTATTTTTGTATTAAATCTCCATCCCTCAAGTTTCCTTGGTCATCAAAAGTAGATAATAATATATTGGAGAGTTGGCCAGAGATCTGGATTCAAACACTAAAATCTGATTCAGAGTACAGGTACTCCTTGTTTAGTTACTGCCTCATTTATTGACAATTCATTTACAACAATGATGATAAAGTGATCTTGTGACCAGTCTTCACATTGCATGTCTATAAAAGCAAAGGAAAGGTGAAGTAAGATCATAAATAAAGGTCCTGGTTTAATTTAGCGACCACATTGCTTAATAATCTAACTGCTGATCCCAGTTCTGGTCACTAAAGAAGAACAACCCTATAATATTTCTTGAGAGCAATTAAGGCACCCATGTTTTTTTTCTGGTTATACATGTAATCTTCAATGTTACATGACATGACCAAAGGGGACTTACAGTAGAGTCTTGTAGTTGTACCTATTGCAGTGTCCACACGGTTTCATGATCATGATCTGGGCACTTGGCAGTCGGCCTGCAGTGATGACATCACAGCACCCAGAAATCACATGGTCACCAACTATGACTTTTATTGCCAGTTTTCATTGCTGTGACACAGTGGTTAGAATGCAGTATTGCAGGCTAACTCTGCCCACTGCCAGGAATTCAATACTGACCAGGTCAAGGTTGACTCAGCCTTCCATCCTTCTGAGGTCGGTAAAATGAGGATCCAGATTGTTGAGGACAATATGCTGACTCTGTAAACCACTTAGGAGAGGCCTGTAAAGCATTATGAAGTGGTATATTAAGTCAGGGGTATCAAACTTGATTTCGTTGAGGGCCACATCAGGGTTGTGTTTGACCTTGATAGGCTGGGTCAACATGGCCAGATTGACATTACTCGTGTCGGGGGCACCTGTGGTGGCCTGGACAGGGTTGGGGGATCCATTGTCCTCCCAGGTTCTGTTTTCAGCTGCAACAGCCTCCTGTAGCCCTCTGCCAGTGAAAACAGAGCCCGGGAGGGCCACACGCACCCCTCTTGACCACCTTTTTCACTGGCGGAGGGCTGAAGAAGGCTGTCACAGCTAAAAATGGAGCTCGGGAAGGCCACACGCGGCCCTCCCAAGCTTAATTGCTGGCAGGGGCACTGCAGGCCAGTCCTTCATTGTTTCCAGAGTAGCCCCGTTGGTACAGCCCACGGGCCTTGAGTTTGACACTCCTGGTCTAAGTGCTATTGCTATATCAACAAGCAAAGTCAATGGAGAAGAGAACAGGCAGTCGCCAATGGCAATCATGTGACTGCAGGACATTGTGACCATGTGGGTTTCACCTAACAATGGCAACTGGGACTTCATAGATTTGTGTAATTATTTGATGTTGCTGCTAGCAATGGAGTTGGTAGTCCCAGGTCCCACTGTTAAGCAAAGACTGCTTTGCTTCACACACTATCCTCTGGAACAGTGTGATTTTGGAAAAGAGACATGTGGCTTAAGATGCTCTTTCCTTGACAGCTTAACTACAAACTGAGCAAACTTTACTATGTGTCCACATTTTACTGTCCCTAATGGATCTGAAATGTTTGGAATCTCAAACTTACACATTTTTTAAAAAATAAAATAAACTTTATTAAAGATTAAAAAGAAAAATATATACAATGTGTAAAATACCACATTTCATTACAAACGAAACCAATATACGAATACAAATATTGACATAAAACATATGTTTTATAACTTACACATTTTATTATCCCTGATGGATCTGAAATATTTGGTGTGCAAAACTTACTGAAGCATGTTGGGGAGAGACTAAATTTGTTGCATATTATTTCACAGGTTGATGGATTAGATTTTTTCTTTAAAAATAACAATCCTATTTTAGCCTTTTATAGTTATTTCTCCAAAGCAATATCCTGTTGAAAATAGAAAAATTGGTAGCCCTTTGTGTGTCTGGAAAAGTATTTCTGTATCGTGAGAAACACAGGTTACTTGATTATGCAGATACAGATAAGTCAAGAGACACTGCTCCCCCCTTTTGGTGCATGCAGATCCATGAGTTCGAAAGGCAAATCTATACACCAGCCTCCCATCATTACTCCCAGCCAGTTAAAGCCATGGATAGACTTTCTAGTTATTTAGTCCTCCCCTCCCAAAATTATTTTAGCTGGGAGCCTAGGAGAAGAAAAGGCCAATGGATGGATGGAGATACACACACATACACACACACACCAAGTACAGAAGTAATTCTTCTCTGGTTAAGGGTGTGAATGTATCCTTTGCAGAAAATTTTTGCACTATTTGGCAAGAGTCAGCGAAAAGATATTGCATAGATTAATGACAGATTTGAACAGAATAATAGAATACTGGCAAGTGAAATTGGCAAGTGGCACAACAACGTTCTTAATGAGATTTTTCTGTTGAAAAGAGATGGATTCGTGTTTCTGCTAATTGCCTAAATTTGCTTCAACAAGGTTCTAAAGCTGAGCAATTTCAGGATCTTTAGTGGAATGTGTTATTGTATTATTCCAGGAAGGTGTTCTAATGGGCCTTTTCCCTTTGCCTTCAAGGTTAATAATCACTAAGACTTGGGTGTTTTTTTTTTGTCTCTTTTAGACAAAACAGAAATGGTGTAAGAAGAAACAAAAGGTTGAGGAATCACCTATTGGAAGGAAACTTTCAGATCATAAGCTAAACAGACCTGATGCTGACTGGCTTCAACTCAAGCCACTAGCAGGTATCTCATTTATGACCAGGCTGTCAGTATCACTACAGCCTTTGTGCAAACCCAGTATCTTATCTCAGTTGCTAATATGGATTAGCAGATTAGTTAACTCTTCTGTATTACCGAATAATGGCCTGAGGTTTGGGGACTCCTGTACTAGATAATAGTTGGAGCAAGTAATGTATTGTAACTGTGGATTAAACAATATTCTATGTCAAGGGTCAGCAACTTTAAGCGCTCAAAGAGCCACAAAGGTCCTAACTGGAAGTCCTCCGTTCAATTCTGGTGCCGACCAGAAGTCCAGTTCCCCTACCATAGAGTCTCCTAGCGTGGCATCCTTTTCCTCTACCTGTCCTAATCAAAAGCCCTATCAATTGTGGAGCCAACCGGCAACGGAGCCACAGCAGAGAGGTGAAAGAGCCACATGCAGCTCTAGAGCCACAGGTTGCTGACCCCTGTTCTATGTTGTAATCATGATTGACAATGTTACTTTCAAATAATAAGGCTATGCTGCTCCCCAAAATATCTCCATTTAGCATTATTTGGAATGGTTAATTTAGGAACTGACAGCACTGCTATCGTAATTAATATATCCTATTCATCCCTTGTTAACTTACATATTTCTTGGGTTCATCCCCTTCAGGAGCAGATGATTCCGTACTATCTGATGATCGACTTAATGAAACTGAATTAACAGATCTGGACGGCCACCTTGATTCTCTGCCAAAGGCTTTCCTGTCAGCTACTGAGGAGGAAAATCGGATGCTCCACTCTCATAATGATATCTCTCATAATGCCCAGAGCAACAATCTTTCAGATGCGGAATATGGGAGCCATCGTCGAGATGTTAAAATAATAGCAAGGAAGCACAACCATCTCTGGCCACATAAACATTCCCATCACTCTCATGGACATTGCCATTCAGGCAAAGATTTAAAGGACACCGGAATAGCTAATATTGCCTGGATGGTAATAATGGGAGATGGGATCCACAATTTTAGTGACGGCTTGGCCATTGGTAAGCAAAGCAAAAGGTTTGGAGTTGGGATGGGATGGTATAGGATGAGGTGCTTTTTGCAACAAATAAACTTGAGGTGAGGAGAAAAAAATGGGATAGTGTGTGTCTGATTTAGAAAAAAAATCAAGAGAAGATTCATCAGGGGAAGTAGTGGTGTTAAATAAGACTCTATCCTTTTCTCTAATTGCTCCTGGCAGATTATGCATCACCTCAGTAGCAAAAGGCCTGCTCTTCACTTTCCTCAGTCCTTTTCAAAGCAGCAAAGGCATTCTTTCTTTGCAGCCACAAATTATTTGCAGGTTTATATGGGTAAGGGGGAAGGAATGCAATTATACTAAGAAATGCCACATTCTCTTTGCGAGTTATATTATAGATCCCTGGGTATATCGCTGGGTATATGCGGTAACTGCTTCACTCCAAAAAGGGCTCATAAATGCATTTTGCGATGTAATCTTCCTGCTTGGGCCCCCCAATATGTAATCCCTTTGGGGGAAGCGGCAGTGCAATATGCCCAACTGAGATTTGCTGATTGAGAAGGAGGGCAAATCTGACTCATACCTCAATAAGTTGTGTTATCCAAAGCCTGAAGCAAAGTTTTCCAGGTTCAGTTTTCTTGAACTGATTTGGGTCTGAAATGATTTTTGGAGCTTCGTAGGTTCCAAACTTTCCCCCCCCATTTTATGCTCACTTCTGGTACATAACCAGGCAGGTCTCCGATTAATGATATTCAAGATCTACTATAAAAAGTAGTCTGTTCTCTCAGATTCTCTCTTTTTTCCCTAGCATATAGATCCATGAACTATTTCAATAATTAGGAGTGAAAACATGAGTATTTGAGCCATTCCTTCGGTTGTTAACCTGACAATCTCTCAGCCAAAAATGCTGTCTTCATCATCAATGATGTTTTGTTTAAAAATAGCCTTGTCAAGATAACCAATTAAAACTTTATTTTGTTCGGTCCTCTACTCTTACCCCTCTCCTCTCCAGGAGCTGCTTTCAGTGCTGGCTTAACTGGAGGAATCAGCACATCCGTAGCGGTGTTTTGCCATGAACTTCCTCATGAATTGGGTAATCAACTAATGTGATGTCAGCTGTGCTTTTATTCTTTGGTCTGTGAATCAAAAATGCCTTATTAATAGATGTGATTATTTATATAGCTTGTGATACCCCAGAATTCATTTGGTTTTAGCCATAGCACTAGTGCAGCTGCATTCTTAGGCCAGGCCTTGCTCGTTTCAGCTGAGGAACAACAAAAATGAAAATCATAATTCATGTTGACATCAGTATACATGAAAACTGCCATGTAGACCAAGGTGCTGCGCACTTGTATACACCGAGGTATTTCAGAAAGGTGGGAAAAGAGGGGAAAAAATACATAAGCAACCACAGTAATAATAAAGCTGTTAAATCATCAGATGTCAACAGTTGTAGCCACAAGGATCTTTGGCATTCTTCCCTCACATTGGCACCTGCTGCCACCCACTTGAAGCCAAGCAGCATTGCTGGAGATAAAAGGAAGGCTGAAAAGCCTTTACTGGAAGGAGGTCCCAGGTTTCTGTGGCTGATAGGCTTGACAGCTGCTTCTGGGAGGCTCTGCTGAATATGTAGTTCATATGTAAAAGTTGGTGGGCTGCTATGTGTGCTGGGCTTGGGGAATATATTTGATAAACTGAAATTGAAAAAGATCTCCCTACTAAGTGACCTGAACGTAGGAATGGATACTGCAGCATTTCAGGGTGACTGCACAATCTCTTCAAATCTTGCACTGTATAGCTATGACATCCATCAGCCCATGCGTATCTTTGTTCAGTTGAGAGGTATCATTGTCCTCCTCCCTCGTAGTGTAAAGTAAATTTCTAGTATTTTCGCTCCAAAGCATCTTCCCTGCAGGAGAAGAAGGTGTTTGTTTTTTTCCTTCCAACTGTGTGCTTCACTATCTCAGGGATAATGCTGTGTTTTGTTGTCTGGCAGTTTTCACGCTTTCTCTTCTCCACTGTCCCAAATCCAGTCAGAGTCACAGAGCATTTTGTTCAGTTCTGTTCAGCTACAGCATTTCAGGAAAGGAGCAGCTGATCGTGTTTACAGCCTTCAGGGATGTCAGCTGCCTCTCTCCCTACGCATCACTGCTTTGATTTTCATTCTCTCTTTATTTCTTCAGTTTATCCTGCAGCAAACTATGCATTTACTTTACAATCGTAGGTTTTTGGTTTTTTTACCGGCAACAGCAACTGAATTGCTAACCAGTCCTTTGTCCAAGAGATCATTCCTGCTTTATTGGGATAAAAGCAACCAGATTAATGGTACAGGTAGTCCTCCACTGCAATTGATCCCAAAATTTATATTATAAAGTGAGACATTTGTTAAGTGAGTTTTGTCCCATTTTACAACTTTTCTTGCCTTAGTTGTTAAATGAATCACTGCAATTAAGTTAGTAACCAGATTGTTAAGTGAATCCCCATTGACTTTGCTTGTCAGGTTGCAAAAAGTGATTACATGACCCTGGGATAATGCAACAATCATAAATATGAACCCGTTGGTAAGCATCTGACTTTTGATCACGTGGCCATAGGGATGCTGCAGTGGTTGCAAGTGTGAAAAATGGTCATAAGTCACTTTTTTCAGCGCCATTGTAACCTAGAACGGTCACTAAATGAACTGTTGTAAGTTGAAGACTACCTGTAACAGATGGCAGGCACTCTGATATAGAGATATAAAAAAATAAAGCAGCTAGACTACTACTGAATGGTTAAACCTCTGGAAGCAACTTAAGGTTTGCATGCCCCTCTCTTCCTTCTGCAGCATGAATATTCCTTGTCATGCCTATTCCCTAGACCAGTGGTGGCTAACCTTTCTGGGCTCCTGTGCCAAAAATTGTGTGCGTGCTTCCACGCTTGCACTTGCGTGCCAGCACCCTCCACGCCCCCTACGCATGCGCACGTAATCCCCATCCACCCACCCATCCCTGCCGCCCGCTTACCTGCACTGCGCCTCACAGCTGGTTT